GTGGCTGGTTGTAAGAAGGGGTAATCTTGACTGTCAAGAGACACACCTCAAGGCAGGTCTGTGAGGAGGCCATTTTCAGGGAGGATTGACTGAGGGGACAAGCCTCTCTTCCTGAGTACGTGGCACCTCCTGGTAGGCACCTTAGGTAAAATGAGATCCAAGGAAATTCAGTGCTATCTGCTTGCTTGATTTCCCTTCTTGGTAAGTTTATCTACGCTGATGATGATGATGTTGATGCCTGTTGTGGAATATTATTTTAAGATGTGTTACATTTGTTTACACTGTGGAACATTTGTTTAATGATGCAAAGGTGTGTCTCATTCTTTCATGTTGCATTTGTTTAACTCTGTGAAGCTGTGTTACTTTGCCTGTCTAAAACACCTGATTGGTCTAATAAAGAACTGAACGGCCAATAGCAAAGCAGAGAAAGGATAGGTGGGGCTGGTAGGCAGAGAGAATAAATAGGAGGAGAGAAAAAGATCAAGGAGAAAAGGGACCAACCACTTAGCCACACAGCCAGATGCGGAATAAGAAAAAAAGAAAAGATATACAGAAATAGAGAAAGGTAAAAGGTAGATGGGATCAATTAAGAAAAGCTGGCTAGGGGCTGGAGAGATGGCTCAGAGGTTAAGAGCACTGACTGCTCTCCCAGAGGTCCTGAGTTCAATTCCCAGCAACCACATGGTGGCTCACAACCATCTGTAATGAGATCTGGTGCCCTCTTCTGACCTGCAGTCATACATGCTGTATATATAATAAATAAATAAATCTTTTTTTTAAAAAAAAAGAAAAAAGAAAAGAAAAGCTGGCTAGAAACAAGCCAAGCTAAGGCCAGGCATTCACGAGAAAGAATAAGCCTGTGTGTGATTTATTTGGGAGCCGGGTGCTGGGCCTCCTAAAGAGCAAAGGCCAAAAGAGTAAAGAGTAATAGAACAGTCAACAACAGGTGCCATCCTCCACTTGCATTAGAATCCATCTTCTTTGGCATTCCAATACAAACCAAAGACAAATGACTCTCCAAGGCCTGCAGAGCCAGACCGAGCCACTGAGAGAGATATCCAGCAGGGTGCGCTGAGCAGAGACTGGGTTTCCAGTCTCTCTGATATGCAGCCCTACTTCCTATCATGTAAGCCAGTCCAATAAGTTCCCCTTTATAATGTTTATTCATTCTATCCATCTGTTCCTCTAGAGAACCCTAATGCCCAAGAACACAATACTTTTTAACTTGCGCTCAAAATGGCGCATGTGTGGAGGTCAGAAGACAATGTCTGGGAGTTCTTACCTTCCACTTCGTTGAGGTTGGGTCTCTCTTGATGCTTCTGCTGCTGAGCTTCCTACTCCAGAGTAGCTGCGTAAAGGCACACAGCTGTTTCTTCTGTCTTGTCCACCCATCGCCCCGTAGAAGTGATGGGGTTAGAGACAGACACCACTTTGTCTGGCCTTTTACATGGTGTAGTGATTGAGTGACGTCCTAAATAAATGTGTTGTTGACATGGGGACAGCCACATCAAAGACCTCAATGCCCATGGGAGTGGCAAAGCCTTCCTCTGGTCCATGTGTGGATATTGATATCCAGAAAATGTCCACCTTAGCTTTCTCCCCAACCCCTATGTTTATGGCCTGAAAACTCCCTATAGAGATTGCTCCCACCAAGATTAGCTAAACCTGTCTTCTTGTTCAGCTGTATGCGATAACTCTGCCTCCCTATTCAACTGTGTACAATAAATGCACTGTGATTCTGAGGTGCCGCAGGCTCTCCATCAGACCCCAGTCCACCTACTCCCAGCTTTTCTGTACATATGTCTGTCTTTTCCTCATTCCCCTGCCGTCCAGTTAGGCCAGTCCCTGAAGTTAAGACCATGGGGACATCCCAAGCAGCCCCACCCCGCAGGAAGCCTGGGTGGGCCTGGGAGCACATCAGAGGTGGGTGCTGGCTCCCACCAGACCATCTTTCCAGGTAGGTTTCCCATGGCATGGGGCCTGTTCAGCTCCATGTGACAATGTCTGTTGTGAGACCCCAGACTGCAGCCCTGCGAGACAGACTATGAGAGGATGAGCATGACACGCCCAGTGCAGAGCCACCCACTGTCTGTGATGAGCAATCTTCATAGGATTCAAGCGGATTTGGGATCCCTAAGAGACACACCTCTGGATATGTCTGGGAGCCTGCTTCCTGAGAGGGTTAACCGAGCAAGGAAGACACGCTCACATTCAGGGTGGAGTCACAGACTGAATAAAAAGGGGGTGGGGGAGCAACTGAGGGCATTCATCACCTTCTGTTTCCCGACTGCAAGTGCAATATAACCCGCTGCCTCCCTCTCTGCCACCATGATATCCCTGTGATGGGTTACACCCTCAACTGTGAACCAAAGTAAATCCTTACTTCTTTTTTATTTAACACTTATGTTTATTTGTTTTATTTTTTTTTTAAGTATGTGTGCTTGAGTTGGTCTGTACAAGTTAGCACAGGTACCCTCACAGGCTTGAAGAGGATGTCAAATCCCCTAGAGCAGAAGTAGCGGCAGGCAGCCGTGAGCTGCCTGCCATGGGTGCTGGGAACGGAACTCGGGTCTTCTGGAAGGACAATGTTGTATGCTCTTAACCACTAAGCCATCTCTCCAGCCTCCTCCTTTAAGCTGCTGTCGTCTGGCCACAGCAGCAAATAGAAAACAAAGTAACTGGTACATCATCCCAGCGTCATCTCTGATTCCGGCTGTGATAGGGAAACTCCTTGGGGAAATAGGAGAGAAACGAACACAGGACCGACAGTGTCTTGTTTTGCTGGTGCCAAGGGCTTTTTGTTTGCTTGCTTTTGTCCTTCGAAAAGATTCAAAAGCAGCTCTGCTGAAATTTCCTCATGGAGGCCAGAAATAAAGCTCACAGCCTGGCTTAGGTCTAACACAGCACCCATTTCTGAGGTCAACAGCCCCTGCCTCCCACCCACACCGGTCTTCCCAGAGCTTGGTAAAAAACAGCCAGCACAAGCCAGATAGATGGATAGAGCTAACAAAGCAAGGGGGGTGTCTAGGATGACCCCTCCCTGCTCTTCTAGCTGCCAGTGGTGCCCTCGTGCCAGCCTATCCTGGTGAGATCCCCAACACACACACAGTGACAGACACACTACCCACGCAGCAGCTACTGAGGATGAAAAAACAGAGCAAGCCCCAGAGACCAGCAGCGCCGCCTGAAAACGCGGGCAGGATGCAGAGGCACAGCGCTCTGTAAGCCCCAATGCCCCTGGCATCTGTGCCCTGCTATTTGCATAAGTAAATGGCAGCTCATTAAGAACACATTAGCAGTGTTATAACCATGTAAGGGAAGCAACCTCCTGAACTCTAAGCCACCGGAGAGTTCTCTGATTCAGTTCTACATCCTTGGAGGCACGAAGCAGGCACTATCATCTACCGACTGTCTGTCCAGCTGCACGGGAAAGAATAGACGTTTATGGAAACACAGGAGAGAATTAATAAATATTTGTTAAATGGCGAATGATAGGCCACACTCAAAAGAGCAAATCTTACTAAAAATAGGACAATGTTTGGCGCAAACTGGTTGGGGGAGGCCTTTCTCTCGGTGCCCACAGCAGGCTTGAGGACAGCGGTTACAAGACGAAGTCACGAATCAAGCTAACTGTCGCCTTTTTACACAGGTCACTACACAATGGCCCTGATTCAAGAGGTCTACGGCAGGGCTCGGGAATCCAGAGTTTAAAATACGAGTGGGGATTCTTATTTGCTGCCCTGTTGAGAACAATTTCTCTTGAGTCTTCTTACTGTGGAAATCTAACCCAGGCATCTCCTGGGAATCTGTTCAAGATGCAAAAATCTCAGACCTTTCACAGGCCAAGAGACCCCGGGGGCTAGGGATGTAGCTCAGTAAGAGAGCCTTTGACTTGCCTAGTTTATAGAAGGTGCCATGTTCAATCTCCAGTGTGAGGGAGATTGGAGGGGCACGTGGATCCTGGTGCTTCTTTGAGGGGTCTGTTAGCCTGTGAGCCAGGGGCATCCTCTGGCAACCAAGCAGTTTCCTGTCTGAGTCCCGGAACTGGGTGACCTTTCCACTGGATGTGCAGTCCTTTAGTCTCGGGTTCAAATCCCCACATCTCCAGGGCACAGATGATGTACTCAATGGCCTCCCAAGGCCTGGTCAGACTTCTAGGATTTAGAATCCCAGGACCCTTGCAGCCCGAAGCATTATGGGGCAAGTCAGCACTATGACTCAAGCTCCCCTAGCCTATTCTAACACTTGAACCCTGAACAAGGACTATCCTCAGGGACACAAACCGCAATGCTGGGAAGGACTTGAACTTCATTTTCTGCCTCAGTGCATGCCCTGCAATGTGGACAGGAAGAGAGGAAGCACGGGGCTCCTAAAGATCAACCTGGCCAGCAAGCCGAGACCATCGCACACCCATCTCCAACGCCCAGGGGCTGCCAACCACCTTGCGATTCTAAACAGGCTCCTGGGAGTTACCACTAATGCCTCTGGCCAAGTGAAATGAGGCAGGCCTGTGTCTGCCAGGGAAGCACACCAGCCGTACCTCAGGCCTCCATACCCAGCCATTAGGGTAATCACCAGTTTCCTGAAGTGCTAGCTCTCCTCACCGCCAGGCAGTGCCAAGCTCTGCTCTAAAGGATCAGGACTCGGCCAGGGAGCAGTTTCTAAATATGCAGAGACAGGAGGCAGGAAGGTTCCTGAAACCATGCAAGTGCCAATTGTAGGGTATTTTTAGCCCCAATTCCTATGGAAAGACAGCTCATGAAATCCTACTCTGTCAGCATCCCTTCCTCCCCTGTCCCGGGAGGAATGGGGTTGCCTTGGTAACCCAACAACATGGATCCACTGCTTAGGGGGACACCTGTAACCCGCCCACGGGTATCAGGAAGAGGTACCCAGGGATGTTCTCACCTGTAGACACTAGCCTCCTTTGCCTAGACAGAGCTCCCAGAGAAACCCCACCCCCACCCCCACCCCCACCCCCAAAAGGCTTAGGAGTCCAGGAAGCCCATGCTGATGTCACAGTAGGACCCAAGGGCAGACCTTGGGACTTTGGGTTTTCAAAGATGTCTAAGCCATCATGAAAACAACACACAGCGCCTGCTTCAGCTTCGGGTCTTTAAATTTTCATGAAATCTCTGCTCGCTGAAGATCAGTTCCTTGGCTTGCCGAAAGGTTAATTATTCATGTGATATGATTCCTTGGGGAATCTGGGTCAGGTGGCAAGAGGCCACGGCAGCATCCTCCTCCTCCTCCTCTTCTTCCTCCTTTTTGAAGACCTTCCTAACTAACTCTCCTTGAAAGCACCGTGGAGAGAGAGAGAGAAGCATCACCCTGAGCCCCAAGACCTCCAGCTTGTGCCTCACCTATACCGCTTCCTCACTTCTAGTAGGTACCTCGGAAGGTTCAGCCCCCAAATTACCTCCCCGTGGTCATGAATTTGCAGAGACTCAGACCGGCTGCTGGTACACTTGAGCACAGTAGGGAAATGTTCTGCAGCTCCTGCTTCCCTGAACGGCTGCGAACACCATGGCTGCTGCTGAAGCCAAGCCACTGCAGGGCCAAGCGTGAATGCAGCTGTTCGACCAGCCGGAGAAGACGTCACCACCGCCCTCCTTAGCTCCGTCGCTGTTTTGAAGACTTCGCATTGGTTGCAACCGGACCTGAGAAAATTAATGGATTATAAAACACCACCTCTTTTAATCATCTTACTCTCCCATGATGAAAATAGCTCCATTGGATTTTTTCCTAGTTTTGTAAATACTATCTGCTTATTATTTAAAAAGGAATTTAAGTAAGCAGTAGTTTTGTTTTGTTTTGTTTTGTTTAGACATGTGAGGAAAAAAGTCAGGATTGCCTAAAACCTGAACCAGGGATAGCCACAGCCTGGTTTTGGTGACCAGTCTTCACACACCCCTTCACACTATGTATGTGTATGTGTGCGTGCGTGTGTGTGTGTGTGTGTGAGAGAGAGAGAGAGAGAGAGAGAGAGAGAGAGACAGAGACAGAGACAGAGACAGAGACTTTACACGGTATTGCTTCACGTGGCCTGAGATAGTCGTGGACTCTCTGTTCCCCATGTAGAGAGTTGGTAAGAGTAGCTTACACGCTTCCCAACGACCTCCCTCCACAAGTACTGGATATCAAAACCTGAACGCTCCTCTCCACAAGTTCCTAGAGCTCACATCCAGCACAAAGAAGTTCTGTTACTCTCAGCCCTCCTCTGGCAGAGGCCCCTGACCACACCCCTGCCATTGGGGTAACATGGTTACAGTCTCTCTTCCAAATCCCAGCTAAAGTGGGCCTGTAACACTCTCTACCTGAACTCTCCCGTGAAAGCTTGGAAGTGGCCCACAGGGTCTTGCATGATCCATCCCTCTTTGTCATCTGTTCCCAGATTCCTTCTGTACTTCTGCTCTGGCCTGACTGCCCCCCACCTCCCCACCCCACCCCCGGCACTGCCATAAGCCCTCTGTACCTGCCATTCCCTCTGCTTGTTCTACCCTTGTAGGAGCCCGTTTTCGGGTTCCTCGTGGCTTTACCCAGCAGGTCCACATAGAGAGGATGATTAGGACCACAGGCTTGAGTGCAGATGTCTGAGATGGTCTGCACTTGGCTGTGCTGGGGGAGGAGGTCTTTTGATCCGCCCCTTGGCGTCTGTATAAATACCCTGGGGCAGAGATAGTCAGGGCCCATTGGAATAGGTTCCAGGCCCTCTCCAGGCTATCCTTTATTTTCTGTTTATCTCCGCAAGATTCTCCGCAATAAATCCTTCTATCTAATATTTCCTGCTGCTCACACTCAAGAAAACTCTGGGAAACTGAGGGGTTGGTGGGTAAACGCCCCACATACCCTCCTTCTAGATATCCACAAGGTTCATTTTCTCCTTCAGCTCTCCACTTCATAGCCACCTTCATAGTGAAGCCTGATTGGCCACCTGAACCTGCCCCTCCCCCTTCCCCCCAGCCTCCAGCCCCCCTTTCTCTTCCCCAGCTTCCTTTCTGTGAGGATCAACCTTCATTACCAACTTGACTGGATTGAGAATCACCTAGGAAGCCCACTCTAAATGTGGTTGGCCCCATCCCACTGGCTGCGCCCCACAGCCCTACCGCTATGCCATCTTGAAATTTCCTCCACCTAACAGCTTGGCCCATTGCTTTTGAACTTAGCATCTCTCAAATGCTCAGGGCAAGGGCAGACTGCAGCCACATCCTTCGATGGCTCACAGGGAAAAAGGAGAAATCCAGCTGAACACCAGCATGCATTTTTCTTTGCTTCCTGATGGACAGGTGCAATGTGACCGGCCACCTCACCCTCCTGCCACCGTGCCTTCTATCTTAGGGCTTTTTATTGCTGTGAATAAAGACACCATGACCACGGCAACTCTTATAAATAAAAGCATTTAATTGTGGTGGCTCGCTTACAGTTTCAGAGGTTCAAGTCCATTATCATCAGGATAGGGAGCATGGTGGCATGCAGGCAGATGTGGTGCTGCAGCTGAGAGTGCTACATCTTGACTCAGAGACAACAGGAAGTCGACCAACTGTCACACTGAGTGAGGCTTGAGAAAAGAGACCTCAAAGCCCTCCCCTGCAGTGACACACTTCCTCCAACAAGGCCACACCTCCTAATAGTGCCACTCCCTTTGGGGGCCATTTTCTTTCAAAGCACCACACCTTCGCTGCTGTGATGAACCATATCCCCTCTGACAAAATAAGACCTTTCTTTCTTCAGCTGCTCCTTATCAGGTGTTTGGTCTCAACAGTGAAGAAAGTAATACACTTACTGTATCCCTCACCTATTGCACCCTAGAAAACTCAGTGTTGGGGACTGGAGCATGCTCAGTAAGTCTATACTGAATGGATTCATCTTGACTCTCCTGGTGGAGCAGGAGTTTGAGATAGCCAGCAAGTGTCTGTTCATCTACTAAGTTCCCTCCACAGCTGCACCTTCCAGATGGAAAAGTACAAGGGCCTTGACTTGCAAGGAAAGCCACCTATCAGTGGCACGTGTTCTCTGCTCCCTGGATTCCAGGAGCAATGGGCCACTTTTCTCCAGCTGAGTTTATAGCCCATATGTTTCAGCATGGTCCCCACACAGAACCTAGGAGTATCCCACCTTGGAAGGGTCTTAAATAGGATCCTACACGAACTCGCCCAACTAAGACATTTCCTCCACATCCTTACATGGGCACAAGCCAGCCACAGTTTGGGCTGGGCCTCAGCTGTGGACTGCTGGCTGGTAATCTCATACAGTAGGCAGCCTACCCTCTAGAACAGTACCGCAGGTCACGACGCACCCATCCATGGTGTTTTCCATGCTGGGCTTTGGTTTTGCTTTGGTCCACTCTTTTCTTGCTGTATCCCAGTTCCCTCCTTTAGAGTGGGAATGTGGACTGCGCATCAATGTATACTGAAAGTCCCAGTGGGACAGTGGCCCAGAAATACCAACCTTCTTCTTAGGGACCTGAGGAGGGGGCCATAGCAGAAAGCCATTGGCTTCTTTTTCTTGTAATTGGTATGCTTTGCTTCAGTACTGATCATTATTGTATAACTGGGGTTGTCTTTGGGAGTTTTTTGGGGTGTTTGTTTGTTTGTTTGTTTGTTTGTTTTTTGAGGCAGGGTTTCTCTATTTAGTTTTGGTGCCTGTCCTAGGTCTCACTCTGTGGCCCAGGCTGGCCTCGAACTCACAGAGATCCACCTGGCTCTGCCTCCCAAGTGCTGGAATTAAAGGCGTGTACCACCATCACCCAGCTTGTTTTGCTTTTTTAACATTTGAGAGAGAAAGAGAGTTTGCACCTGTCACCTGGGCTATGTACCTGGAGGTCAGGGGACTTCTCCTTCAACCACATGGGTTCTAGAGAAGAAACTCGGGTCAGCAGTCTTTGTGGCAAATGCCTTTACCTGGTGAGCCATCTTGCCAGCCTGGAGTTGTCTTTAGAAAACTTATAATGATATATAGATATGGATAGAGGTAGAGATCGACATATGAAGATCCAACTTCCTTTGGACTTGAGCCTAGTTCTATATTTTAACCTGGGGAAAGAGGCAGCACTAGGGATGAAGTTGAGTAGACAAGAGCTTCCTTGTCCTTGCCTCGAGACCTTCTGACATCTGCCCAAATAGTCTGTCTATGAACACGCACACAGATAGACATGGACACACATACATAACACACATAAACACAGGGACACTCACAGGTACATACACAGACATAAAGACATGGATACACAGAGACAGGCGTGTATGCACACATGCACAGTAGAAATGAGAAAGAGAGGGAGGAAGAGAGAGCATTCACAACCCAGATGGCAGGAGTCTGAGTGCCAAGCTCTCTCTGGCAAAAGGCTGTCTGCCTCCTCCCCTCGCCATGTCGAGGATCAGAAATACAGAGAACAAGAAATTTCTGAATGTTGCCCTTGACCTTGCTATTAGAACTCCATGGAAGCTCACACATAGTCTAGCTGCTCCCACGGCCAGCCCACCTGTCTTCCCAAAGCTCTCTCTGTCCTTGGCCTCCCTGGAAAAGGAAGGGCCAGCCCACTCCCAAGCTTTCTGTCACCGTCTTTCCGAGAGCAGCAGCCCAGACTTTGTCAACAGCAAGGGCGGGAAGGGAATGAGACTGGGCCACCCCACTGTGCTGAATTTGTGCCATCCAACGGGCAGATGGTACCCTTAGTCCCAGGAAGAAGTGGGTGGCCAAAAGTGGACATCAGCTCCACAAGCGATTTAGTACTCTCTTCTCCCAGGGGCTGAAAGAGACAGTATTGCTGATCTAGAAAAGAATGTGGAGGTGGGAACACTGCTGAAATTCTACTAGTCATAGTATTTTAAAACCCTGGCTATGTCTTTTTGAACTACACAGAGTAATGTTGGCGTTCCACGGAGCAAGGCTAGACATTACACGTGAAGCAGGCAATCTACAAGGTAAATATTAGGATGCCATTTTACGCTGGTAATTAATTGACACTCTGAGAGGTTAGAAACTAACCTCTGGTAAAATGGCGTCTCCATGAACCCTTTACATTCCGTTGATCGTGTATGGATGGACAAACAGATGGACAGATGGCTAGATGGACAGATGAAGAGAAGTACAGACAGCTGAACTGCAGAGCCTTCCCATCCAGCTAAACTAATGCTATAGTGGCTACTTAAATGAATGTATTAGACTGACTGGTAATTAGCATCTCAGCGGTTAAGAGAAGAGGCAGGAGGAGGAAGGACCACTATTATCAGAACATGTACTCTGGAGCCAGGCTGCAGGTTCAAACCTCAGATCCACCACAGAGCAGCTGAGTAACCTTGATCTAGTAATTTACCCTCTCTGTGTTCTGGTTTTCTCATTAAAATGAGGATATTATAACTGAAAGAGTTATTGGGAACATAATTTTATAAAGCAATATGCTTATCACTTACTGTGATGATTAATGTTGCCAACATCACAGAATCTGATATCACCTAGGAGATGCCTGAAGACAGACCTAAGTCCCACCTGGGTGGGATTATTTGGCCTCTGAGCATGCCTGTGGGGAATTATAGGCTACCGTGGCAAGATTCTGTCTCAAAAAGGGGGGGGGGGGTAGAGAGATTGCCCAGCAGTTAAGATTGCTTTTCCAGAAAACCCTGTTCAATCCCAGCACCCACATGGTGGTTCACAACCATCTGTAACTCCAGTTCTAGGAGCTCTGATGGCCAGGCACACACATGATACATAGATATAGACATACATGCAGGCAAAACACCTACACACATCGAATAAAATTTAAAGCCTGATGTGGTGGTGCACGCCTTTAATCCCAGCAAATGGGAGACAGAGGCAGGCATATCTCTGTGATCTCAGGGGCAGCCTGATCTATATAGCAATTTTCAGGACTGCCAGGACTACATAAGAAGACTCTGTCTCAGAAAAAGAAAGTGGAAGGGATGTATTTGTTGGACTGGCTTACATGATTGGAGTTGCTCATTTCAATAATGTCATACATTCACACACTGGGAAGTAGAAAACATGGTAGCTACCAAATCAGAAAGCCAGACATCTCAGCTGTCTGGTCTAGTACTGAAGATCCGGAAGCTTCCTGGAAAGCCACTATGGTAAGTTCACATTGAAAGGCTGAAAGACCCAAAGTCTAATGTCTCCAGGAAGCAGCCATATATACATTCAGTCAGACAGAAAGGGGGCCTGCAGGCCCGCATACTGCCTTCCTCAAATATCCTTTCATCCACCAGACTTTTGGATGGGGCCTTTCTTCCCCAGTCTCTGTCCCATCTGTCAGTCCTGTCTGGAGATGTCCCTACAAACACACAAAGGTGTTTCACCAATCCTTGTTAACTCGATCAACAGTTGAGACCCAGCATCACAATGGAAAAGGATGGATCTGCCTCACTTTCAGACTGCTTTGTGTATTTGTTGGATGGATGGATGAATGGATGGATGGATGGATGGATGGATGGATGGATGGATGGATGAGTTATTGGTTATCACAGTACTCAAGGATCCTTATGCAAAGAGAAGAAATCTCTCACAGAATTCAAAAGTTTACTTCTGAAGACCTTCTCAAAACCTTAAGTTCTAACCTGGAAACCTTTCAGAAATTGGCATTTCAAGATTTTAGAGCAAAACCAAAATGTATGCAGTAGAGCATCCTAAGAATGAGTTCCACAGAAAACTGTGTGAACGTTCTCCTGAGTGGGGTCAAGACTGAACAAGCCAGCATTGGCCCAGAGCACAGACAGCTGCCAAATTTGTTTATTGCAAGCCAGAAGAGATGTTCTAAATGGACCTCAGAGCAGCAGGTAGAGGGGTGTGACCTATAAGCCACAGTCTGGTTCCCCTCAGCCAACATGCAGAAAGGACTTGGATTTGTGTCTCATCCACAATCACATGCATCTATTTGGAGACTGTTTCCATGAAACATCCCATTTGGTTCTTAGAACAAACATGACCCAGAGAGAATGAGCCAGCACCCCAAGATCATTCATTAGTGAAGACAGAGCTTGGATTTTGCCCTGAGTGTCTTAGATAGGCAGATTGCCAAGCCAGCAGGGCATTCTCAGATTTTCTCCATCATCCCTCACTTCATACCTCTTAGTTCTTGTCATTTAATAATAATTATGAACATGATTTTCTTTATGTTTTCAACTGGAGCTAGTAAGTAGCAGAGACATCACATAACTTTTTTTAAAAAATATATTTTAAAGACTGTGTTTCTCAATGTAGCCCAGGCTGTCCTGGACCTCACTCTGTAGACCAGGCAGTTCTCAAACTCACAAAGATCCACCTGCCCCTGCCACCTGAGCGCTGGATTAAAGACATGCGTATGGACGTTCACCACTTCTTCACAGAACGGACTCTACATTCTTCGAGAGCTCCAGACGTGCCACAGAGGCAGGGTCTCACAGGAGCAGCCACGCTCCATAGAGCAGCAGAATGGTGAGCAACCAAATCCTACTTACAGTGTGGACAGAAGACGTGAGGAGGTGACTCTGGGGACCTCAGGGGCTTGCAGAAGTTAAATTTGGAGACCGCAGACTCTGTTCTGCAGGGGAGAGGCTTCTTCGGGTTGTCACAGCGCATCAACCCCATGGGACTGGAGAGTTGATGAAGAAGCATCCCCCATGTGCGATGCTCCGTGTGGGGTGCTTTGCACTGGGGCCATGACACTGATGGAGAAGGTAAAGGATAGTGTTCCAAGCTGTTGGGAGAATGCAAAGTGCTCACCAAAGCCAGAGCTTTACTCTGGTCATCACGGGTAGGAGGTAGGAGATGTGAGACTGAAAGCATTGTCAGGGGCTGATGCCAACAAGCACCAAGTGCCTCACTGAGGGATGTGTGAGCTTACCCACAGCCCTGGGAACCCCAGGAGGCAATGGGATAGAAGTGGCCCACAGACACTCGAGACCTCGTCTGTCCTGGTTGCATCCATCTCCTGCCCTGTTTCAGGTACCTGGAATAGTATCTGGCACATCTGTGAAAGAAGGTGGGAGAAGGGAGGAAGGGGTGGGAGGGAGGGAGACAGAGAAAGGAAGGGAGACCTGAGTAGATTTGCAGTGGAGAATGTGCTCAAATGCAGAGGGCAGAGGGAAAGCAATCAGGACTCCCTGATAGGAAGTCACAGCGGGAGCCCAGGTGAGAACCTGCAAGTGATACCTGAGGAGGAGAAGACACAACCAATTAGCAAGAAGAGTGGGCTCAGAGGGATATGCTGAGCAATGGAATACAGTGTCCAGAGAGTTACCAGATGCTTCGCATGGACCCTTCTCACAGGACATTTGGGAGGAGAAAGCTTTGGGACTTGGAGCTGCATGATACTCCAGACCCACTCCCAGAGAAGGAGAATGGAATTACATCCTCCAATAATAGATGTTTGGGGAGGAGCTAGAGGGTGGTGGAAGGAGGTGGGATAAACGAGGACCTCCTCACTACAGCCCCTGCAGTGATCTGACAACCTGAGGCAACTCTGCCCCACCCCCCTGCTCACCACGAGTCCAGCCCCTCACCTCAGGCATGTACCCCCTGCAGACAGCAGCAGCCTGAAGAAGGAAGGAAGCCAGGAAACAAGGGAGCTACCACTGGTGGGCAGCAGCATGCAGTGCCAAGCTGGGGGCTGCTGGCAGCCGCTGAGGCGTCAGGGAACACAGGAGACTGGGGAGGGCCCGTCTCGTTCCCCGTGGAAGGCTACAGGGAGACTCTCCAGCAGCCTCAGGGCTAAGGCTTTCAGGACTGCGACGGATTTCGTGGGGAGAAGAGCCAGGGAGACTCATTTTCCCATGTATAGGCATGATTGTTAGGTTTTGTGTGGCGACATCATTACCTTGGCGTTTCCTCTACCCTGCTCCAAAGACTTTGAAAGAGTTGGGGAGCAGTCAGAGGAGCCTCCTGAAAAGAGATCTTTGTGTTTGTGTCCCAGCCCTGACCCCACACCACCAGCCTCTAGGGATGCAGACTCGGGTCCCTAAGCCCGGGCAGAGCCATGAGGTAGGCCAAAGGACATAAACACATCATTCCTTCTGAAAACCAGCCCAGTGGATGACAGTCTACAGCCCATAGCACTCTGAAAAACTGAAATATGCCCCCCTACTGCTGGCTTCTCTCGAAGGGGCCATGCAAAGGTCAACAAGTTAACCTTCCCGTGGTGTAGAGAAAGCCCAGGATGAGGAATGGGCCCCTCACCCAGAGGCACAGGAGGAGCCCAGGAGCCCAAAGATAAACCCAAGGGGAAGGTCTCTGTAGGGCTGGTGTCATTCACAAACAACCCACACCACGTGATCTGCTCACATAGCTCTGAGTTTGAAATGGACGTGTTTATTGAGCATGTACTGTGGGCCAGGCCCTGTACTAGATACCGACAATTCAAAGATGACTGTGGTGTGGTCTATGCTTTCAAAAACTTCATAATTCACTGGGAAAGCTGACAGGAAGCCAGAGCCTTAGAACGAGTAAGACCATTTTAAGGGGTTAGTAGGATCCAGTCACTTGCTCTCACCAGCACTTGGTGGGGTGATTGGGGGTGCTGGGGAGGTGTCTCAGGTCACTCTGTAGGTGAGGGAGTTTGGGGGATTGGGGGGCATCTTAGCTCACTCTGTAGGTGAGGGGGATTTGGGGGGCTGGGGAGCGTCTTAGCTCACTCTGTAGATGGGGGGTTGGGGGGCGTCTTAGCTCACTCTGTAGATGGGGTTGGGGGGCTAGGGGGCATCTTAACTCACTCTGTAGATGGGGTTTGGAGGGGTTGGGGCATCTCAGCTCACTCTGTAGATGGGGGGTTGGGGGGGTTGGGGGGCGTCTTAGCTCACTCTGTAGATGGGGGATTTGGGGGGTTGGGAAACATCTTAGCTCACTCTGTAGATAGGGCTTGGAGGGGTTGGGGCGTCTCAGCTCACTCTGTAGATGGGGGGTTGGGGGGGTTGGGGAAGTCTTACCTCACTCTGTACATGAGGAAACTGCAGTTGCAATGGTTGAGTCACTCACCTCCACAGCCACACTAGCGAGAGAGACTTCCGTGACACTGGGAAACGGGTTCACACGGTCTCTTCTGAATATCTCTACTCGCTGGGAGCTTGGTATCCACCAGTATGTGGGCAACAAAAGCAGAAGTCAGGTAAACGGCCTGGATGCAAACTCAAGTCAGAAACCAAAGACCTTTCCAGAAAAGACCCTGTGACACCTTGTATGGAATGAAGGTTCCTCTCTGTGAGGTTGTCTTCCCCAGGAGACTCACGCCAGCCACTGCAGACAAGGCCAAAAAAAGACTGTGGATGCCACCTGCCTTCTAAGTCACAAAGGACTCTGCCAGTAGTCCAGCTACTATCTATGTCCTGAGCCTTAACAATAATAGCATCTTGGGCAAATGTAACTGGGCTCAAATATGCCACATGGGCTCAGGAGGGGGAGGGGCTGCCACCGAACCAGGAGGAAGGGGTCTGCAGATAGGAAAGTGTAGTAATTGGCCCCCTAATCTCATAGGGAGTGGCACTATTAGAAAGTGTGGCTTTGTTGGATGGATATGGCCTTGTTGGAGGAAGTGTGTCACTGTGGGGGTGGGGGAGCTTTGAGTTTTCTTATGCCCAGTGTCTCAGTTGACTTCCTTTTGCCTGAATGATGTAGGACTCTCAGTTTCTCCTCCAGCACCACATCTGCCTGCACACTGCCATGCTTCCCGCCACGATGATAATAGACTGAACCTCTGAAACTATAAGCCACCACCTCAATTAAATGTTTTGCTTTATAAGAGTTGCCATGGTCATGGTGTCTCTTCACAGTGACAGAAACCCAAACTAAGACAGAAGGGCTGAGTTCCTGTCTCTAGAACACACACTTTGGTGACTGTCGTTGGTATGGCTGACAAATCAGGCCCCACTAGGTCAAGCCCCCGGCCCACAGGAAGCCCTGCAGCACTGCTTGAATGAATGAGGGGTGAACGGAGCTGAAAGGCATCAAAGCTGTAACTATCTAAAGAAATGCAGAGACCAAGCCCTTCTTCCTCCCTCCCCAGAACATTCTACCCATCCTCCGAGGGAACAGGGGCCGCAAGAGAAGGCTGTCTGGGGTCCTCCACTTATTAACTACTGTAACCTGTGCCTTAGTGTCCTCAGCTGTAAAATGGAGTGCATGGCATTGTGAGAACTGAGTGAATACTTGTGAAGTACCTGGCATATGCAAAGCGCTATCTGCTTATTTAGTTAAGGAAAACTGGCCTCCATCCAGGTCACTGGTCTGTGTGCAGGGCCCATTTTCTCTTCTGCTGTTTCAATGCAATTGTACAGCACAATACACGCCAGAGAGAATGGAGAGGAATTACCTTGTCAGAGCTTCAAGCCCCCTTCTCTGTCCCCAGACTCCACCTAACCTCCAATATCCTGATCCATCCACCTGCTCTCTCTTAAGTGATCATGAGCTCTCTCCCAGTTCTAGGCTTTGAGCCCCAGTAGCCACGGACCAAGCTTCCAAGAACGCACACCCAGAAGCTGGGCTACTGACTCTGGGTCCAGATTTGGGGAGGACTAAGGTTACATGCTTGGTCTGAAACAGCACTACACGTGCGGGAAGCAGTGCCACCCAGTGGCAATTTTAGGAACTGGCGGCAGAGACCAGAGGCACCCAGCGCACCCTGGTGGACTAAAGAAAAAAGAAAAAAAGTAAATGGTTCAGTTTGGAAAGCAATGGGCAGAGCTATATGAGTTCTTTTTCTCTGGGTGAGTTGGACACTCCTTACTCCAAGCTCTCCTTCTCTAGAAGAATGTCCTGCCTGGGGCTATGGCTCCTTCTCTTAAGATCTACCATGGTTCCCTACACCGAGCATATACAGCCATGGGGAATAGCATCCAAGACCCATTGTATGTAGCCCATTGTGTTTCCACTGTGCAGTCTAGTGGGAGGGAGAGAGAGAAGACAAAGTGAAAACCTACTCAGCTTCGTTCCTAGCAGGGCTGTAAGCCTCAAAGGACTGAAGAACAAAACTATCATTATCCAAATGCTCTGATTCATAATAACCTTAGCAGCCATGTGGTTAGAATTTTATGAATCTTAAATGCCCCCCAAAGCCATGGACTGACAGCCTCATTGCCAGTGAGGGACAGTACCAGGAGGTGGGAGACTCTTTAGGAGGGGGGACCCAGGGGAAGGAAGTTAGGTCACAGGGGTTGTGACCACAGTCATATTCTATCTATCTATCTATCTATCTATCTATCTATCTATCTATCTATCTCTATCTCTATCTCTCTCCTCCTTTCCTCCTTCCCTCCCTCTCTCCAGCTGCCATGAACTGCCATGAGGAAAACAGTTTTGCTCTGCCTAGTCTCCCCCGACTGTGACATTCTGCCTCCCTACAGGCCCAAAACAATGAGGTCAGGTAACAATAAACGTCAACCTCTTCTCGTAAGTAGTTTGTGTCACATAGTCCTGACTATTACATAGTCCTCAAACAAGACCATTTATGTGTGCTCCCTTCCCTCCTCCAACACACAGCCGAGATCCAGATACTCAAAGTTCCAAATAGGAAATTTCAATAATCTTAAGAATTTTAATATATAAAATTTAGATGAGAGCCAATTCTTTAGAATAAACATTGTAATTCCCAGATTCAGTGTGAAGGAGAAATCTAAGGCCCTGGCCCACCTCTGAGGAATCAGAGAGCACTGTGATACCCCTGACAGCCCAGCATCTATTCAGACGAACACCTCCATCCATCCAGAGAGTGGTATTCCTTGTACAAAGCTGTGTGCTCCATTTTAGACTCAGGCCCCTGATACTGGCCATGGCTCATGAAAGCAAAACTGTCCCCACTTCCAAGTCCAGGACCTGGAGCCTTAAGACAGAATGAAAATTGTCATCATGGTGGGGGACAGAAGTAAGAAACAACCCTAACTGTAAACCTTACTTACTGTGTAGTAGTTGGAATGAAAATGGCCCCCATTGGCTCATAGGGAGCGGCACTATTAGGAGGTGTGGCCTTGTTGGAGGAGGTGTGTCCCTGGGAGTTTCAGATACTCAAGCCAGGCCCAATGTCGCTCTCTCTTCCTGCTGCCTGCCTATCCAGATGTAGAACTCTCAGCTCCTTCTCCAGCACCATGTCTGCCTGCACACCACCATGCTTCCCACCATGACGACAATGGACTAAACCGCTGAACCTGTAAGCCAGCTCCAATGAAATGTTTTCCCTTGTAAGAGTTGTCATAGTCCACCCTGTATGGGTCTGAACTAGGTCCTCTGCATATGCCTTTTGGGTTGTGTAGCTTGGCGTTCTTATGGGACTCACAACAATGGGAGTGGGAGGTGTCTCTGGCTCTTTGGCCTGAGCTTGGGACCCTTTTCCTCCTAATGGTTTGCCTTGTTCAGTCTTGATATGAGGGTTTGTGCCCAGTCTTATTATATCTTATATTAGGCCATGTTCGGTAGATATCCCTGAGAGGCCTGCTCTCTCTCTCTCTCTCTCTCTCTCTCTCTCTCTCTCTCTCTCTCTCTCCCTCTCTCAAGGGAAACAGAAAAGGAGTTGATCTGAGGGAGAGGGAAGGTGGGGGGAGCAGATGGAAGGAATGGGAAGGGAGACTGCTGTATGAGAGAAGAATAAAAGTTAAATAAATAAGAAAGAAGAGTTGTCATGGTCATGGTGTCTATTCACAGTAATAAAACCCTAACTAAGATATACTGCCTACATACTAGGGATACAGCAGCCATAGGCGTGAGGACTTAGGCAGGATGGCTGTTTGAGATTTCAGTTTCCTTCATTAACATATCTTCTGAAAGTCCCCTCTGGTACTCTGCCCTGTGCGGGTCCTGTTGGTTCTTCTCTCTTCCATCTTTTACCCAGGGGTTCACACTCACTGGCCCAGTCTGTGCATCTCTTCCACACAGCGGTTATGTCTAATGTGTTTTCCCCTCAAATCCCAGGCTACTGTGAAAAATCTATTTCTTCGGTGATGTTTTCTGCGGGCCAGATCCTGGATAGACATCTGAATGACCCAAGCCCAGCCCCAGTGGAGATGGACCACTAAGCATGTGGATTCCTGGCAGACAAATCACATTACTCTGAAATCTGTCCCCATCCTGTTAAGAGTTCCCAGGCCTGGGACTCTGGTCAGGCTGGCAGGATCCATTTCAAATTAACATCTCTATGATGGTCCTATTCTGTCTTAAGTCCAGTGATAGACTTGGAAATGTCAATGGTAAGATGGGAAGCTCCAGAACTCCAACTCCATCCCTGAGCACCTCCCCTGCCCTTCTGTCCCAAAGAGGGAGAGGACTTTTGTTGTGGGATAATCTTTCTGTACACTGTAAAGATGTGTCTTTGCCAAGGCGCCTTCTGATTGGTTTGATAAAGAGCTGAATGGCCAATAGCTAGGCAGGAGAGAATAGGCGGGACTTCCAGGGAGACAGAGGAACTGGAGATGAATCTAGGCACACTAGAGAGACGCCTGTGAGACACTGAAGAAGTTGGACATACAGTACAGAGGAGAGGTAACCGAGTCACATGGCAGAACACAGATTAATAGGAACAGGTTAATTTAAGTTATAAGAGCTAGCTGGGAACAAGCCTAAGTTAAGGCCAAGCTTTTATAACTAATAAATCTCCATGTCATCATTTGCGAGCTGGAGGCCCAAAGGCTGGTTAGGGTGCAGGACACATATTAGACTATATTTGCGGGTGGCTATAGCTGCTGTGTATAGAGCTGGGCCAGGACAGGGTTGGCCAGGCACTTTGCCCCATTCATGTGGCAGATTCTACTTGATGGTGGGCTCAGGCACCCTCTACTGTCCTCCCATGTGGCTGATCAGGACACACACAAGAACAGCAGAGGTTTGGGGAGAATGAAACCCCCAGGCTGTGTCCAGGTGAACCCAGTTCTCCATAAGGGGCTTATGGAGGCAGGTGAAACATGCTTAGCTTCTACTAAACGTACCTCTGCTTTCTTCCCTGTTCTTCCTGTAAGTTTCTCTTAGAGCCTAAGAGTAGTGGTTGCTAGGGCAGAGATCTGTCTGGGTCCCCTGGCTATAGCATATGTATGTGGCCCTCAGTGAGGCCACTGATTTGGTGAAAATTCTTTCATCCAGGAGAAATAGTTCAGCAGGAAGGCTGGACCATACTGTGACTGAGGCAGGAGCTAGAGTAAAGATCTGAGGGAATCAGGAAATGCTTCAGAAAAAGCCAAGGGTAAGACTGGCCTTGAGGCACAGGTAAGACTCCATAGTGATCTGGAGATCTGGGACATGTATTAAAGTAGAACTCAGGAACGTTTGGAGAGGAGTAAAGTCTAGCTTTGCTCACTGTGTGGATAAGGACATTGACGAAACAGTCCAGACTGTTGGATATAATATACAGAGTAAGATCCTAGGATGCTGAGTAGAGACAACACCTACAGGTGAGGTCTTAGGATGCTGAGTAGAGATAAGTACAGGTGAGGTCCTAGGGTGTTGAGTAGAGACAATATCTACAGGTGAGGTCCTAGGATGCTGAGTAGAGATGATACCTGGGGGTCATGGAAAACTATTGAACAGGGGAGGGCACCATCCAGGAGCAGAGTTTGGACTCCAGAAAGAAGAATCTGGCAGGTGTGTACAGGATGGATTGGAGACAAACAAGACCAGTTCAGAGGCCAGGACAATAACCAGGCAACAGAATGAGAGAGTGGAGTCCTGGGAAAGGATAGAGAACCCAGGTGGACAGAGAGCACAGAACCTGGAAGACCAGAACTGTGAGGGAGAGAGACACTGCCCTGGGGGCGAAGTGTTCAAGATTGCTCTGCAGAAAGGTCTCCAGGAAAATGGGCACCTTCTGCAGAATTAGGGAAGTTAAGGAAGGCAGAGTTGAGAAAGATGAGTTTGGCTGCCTGCCCCAGCCCTCTCTGCCTCACCTCCTACCGCTGCTCCCGGAACATTCTGTCCATCAGGTAGTGCCCTATGTGGCTTCTGTCAATACTGAGAGCATCCTTCTTCCAGTGGCCCGGCTGTTTCTCACCTGGCTGACTCTCAGCTGTTATTTGGTTCTCAGCTCCGGCCTCTCCTTCTGGAAGTGGTCCTGAGCCCTGCCCTGCCCTAGGCTCAGTGGGAAGCTCCTCCTTCCCCCCTCTCACATGACTGCACCCTGACGATGTGCCGGGCAGGTAGCAGTGACTGCTGCAAAGCTGTTCTCCATGAAGAGCAGAGTTCTATTTATCCGACAGGGATGCAACAAGGTTTGTTGAGCGCCTACTACGTTTCAACTCCCAGATACAGAAAATGCTGTAGGGTACAAACACAGTCCCTGTTCCCAAGGGGTGTGTGTGACTAAGGAGGAAAGGAAGTAGCCAGGCAACAGAGACTGTCCATATCCTGAAGGCCATCTCTTCCCCTTATCACTCGGGCGCACTCTCTCTTTCTTTCCCTCCCTCCCTCCCTTCCTCCCTCCTCCCCACTTCATCCCTCCTTCCCCCCTCCCTCCGTCCTCCCTGCCCCTCTCAGACAGAGTAGATGCTACACAATGCTAATGCAGCTAAGAGAGGACCTGATGGTTTTGAAGTCTGGAAGGCAGCTGGGAAGTGAGGGCTGGATGTCAGGAGCGATGACTACAAACAGGAGCTTTCTGGAAATCTACCCACTCGGCTTTAAGTGCCATTAAACCTGACACAGAAAGTACACAGAAAGAGGGGGCTTGGAGCTCATAGAGAGCAGGGCGTGTCCCTCCCCCCGGGCTTGCCCCTCCCCCCGGGCTTGCCCCTCCCCCCGGGCTTGCCCCTCCCCCCGGGCTTGCCCCTCCCCTCGGGCTTGCCCCTCCCCTCAGGCTTGCCCACCCCACCCCACCCCCGGCTTGCCCCACCCCTACACCAACCCCACTGGAGATTCACAAAAGACATACCCTCAGCCCAGGAAGCTGCTCCCACTCAGAACATATCCTGCTTAAGGAATGAGGACACCAGCCCACCTGCTCCCTACAGCCCTCCCTGGAGCAGTGATGCTGAAGCTATGGAATGTTCCTGTTCCAGGCAGCATCAGAGAACATGGGGAGGAGATAGCTCGTCGCTGTGCACCATTGCAGACAGCAAATCATACATCTGTGTTCCAGCTCACTGGTGGTTTATTTTCCTAATCCCATGCAAGACTTCAGGTGTCTGCAGACTGGGAATACAGCTTGATGGTAGAACATGTCCCTATTATGCATGAAACCCTAAACCTAACACTGCAAAAAAATTAAAAATAAGTAAACACTTTTTAAGAGTGCCCATGTGCACTCTATGGGGTTGGACAAAGTAGTTAAGAAACAGGCTGTAGGGACTGGAGAGATGGCTCACTCATTAAGAACACCTGCTGAGCAAGCATGAGGACCTGAGTTTGGATCCCAGCACCTACATAAGTAGCCAGATGATGTCTCATGAGCCCCTGTAACCCTAGTGTTGTGGGGGCAGAGACAGGAGGACCACCAGGGCCTTCTAGCTGCCAACCTAGCTGAAAAATACAAGCTACAGGTTCCAGGAGTAACCCTGTCTCCAAGGGAAAGGACTAAAGGACTCAATGCCCTTCTCTGGCTCCCAGGTACACACAGGTGTGAGCATCCGAAAGTACACACACATGTGCATATGCCACATGCACACATATGCACACACATGCACACAGGAGGGAAGTGGGAGTAGCAGGTCAGAGCACCAAAATGTATCCTCATAACAGACACTGCCCCTGTTTGCTTTTGGTAACGTTGGGAGAAGTTCATCTCTTTGGCCCCAATTTTCTCACCGATAAAATGGGAATTATATTGACAGTTCCTGTCCCACTGGGATGTTAACGAAAATTAAATGAACTGATTCATTAAAGCAAAGTGGGTGTGCAATAAAAATTAACCTTTATTGTTGTTGTCTTTAATTGCAGAAAGGGCCCTGCTACCCAGTACTCAGGAACTTGATGCAGTTGCGTGGCTGGCAGTCCGAGCCCCAGGATTAGATGGCCTTTGCTTTTCTTTCCCAGCTCACTATGGCCCCAACCACACCACACTGTCATCCCCTCCAAGGCCCCAGGCAAAGTTAAGAGTCAAGACTGGTGAGCACTCCGCTTGATTTTGCGGCAGCCCACTTGGTTCCCTGACCAAGTTCAAGGCCAGGAGCTAGTTCCAGTTCAATATGGACTTACATAATGACAACCTGCTACAAGGAAGGAAGGAAGAAGGGAGGGAAGAAAGAAGGAAGGAAGGAAGGGTGGGGCAGGGAGGGAGAGAGGGAGGGAGGGAGGGCGGGAAGGAGAAAGGGAAGGAGGATGAGAGATGGGGAGGGAGGACAAAAAGATGGAGAAAAGGAAGGGGGGAAAGCTCAGACTCCCCCAAAGACATTTGCTCTGATTTATACACAGACACACATACACACACACACACACACATTTTCCTCACTTTAAGGCAGCACACTCCATCTCACTCCTTCTGTCACCAGGAGGCTCCTCTCTACCTTGTCATGGAGATGTCCCCGACAAATCGTACCATCTCTCCCTTTCCCCATAAAAACGATCAAATCCATATCCTTGTGTGTGCTCTGTGATAATGAGAACAACTCCAGTGTGACAACCAGTCCCTGAGCGCGATGGCTCAACACAGCAAAGACTGAGTTTTCGCTCATAGTACCCTGTGAGTCAAGGCTGGCGTATCCTTTAGTCAAAGCTGGTGTATCCTTTAGCCCATCTTCCAATAGCAGACCTCATCTTGTGGCCGCATCTTATCGTGGCAAACGCTCAGAAATGATCGTCTCTCTGGATGGCCAAGAGGGAAGCACAGTCCATTTGACGAACATTCTCTATCCTGCTGTCTACTCTGGAAGCAGAGACCCCTCTGGGAGGTAACTTGGATGTTTTCCTCCACGAATGCTCTCAGGAAATAGGCTCAAAGCGACACTCTGCATTTTGCTTCCAATCCTGTCACAGATAGCATCCCGTCCCTTGGGGCAGCAGATGGAAGGTCTTCCGCACAACAGCTGGGTTCAGCAGGCAGCTTCCCCAGGTCTTGTGGAAAGAGGCCTCTAAGTAAAACTCCCTGGTTGGCACGACAGAACTGATAAATACGTGGAGTCCGAGAATTGGGGGCAACAACATTAAGTGGGAGGATTAGATGGCCTTTGCTTTTCTTTCCCAGCTCGCTATGGCCCCAACCACACCACACTGTCATCCCCTCCAAGGCCGCAGGCAAAGTTAAGAGCCAAGACTGGTGAGCACTCCGCTTGATTTTGCGGCAGCCCACTTGGTTCCCTGACCAGGGAATGGAAGTGCCAGGTCGGCACAATCTCTTAATGCCATCAAGCAAGCAAAGAAAAAAAAAAAACTATATCTCTACCCTCAGCTTCCACCCCACCCCAAGCAGCTAATGCCAGGCTGATGTTTTTCATCTTGGACACACACACACCCCTTCAGTGTGCTCCCCCACACTTCATCCTCAGCCCATCCAGATGGCCTGTGGCTGCTGGGAACCAACCACTGTGGGAAACGGGTTGTTGCATAATCTCCTCCAGACTCTGTCCCTAACTGCAAACCCGTTCGGGACATAGACTCGAACAAGAGGCCGTTCCTAATCCAAGAGAAGTGAGGGCTTCAGTTTCCTCCCCCTTCTCGTACCTCTCTCCTGTCTCCTTGCTCACCTTGACTGTGAAACAGTCGCCGGGGAAACAAAAAGCGACGCCCACCTGTACACCCCTGGAAATGCCACCAGTCACCTACACGCTGCTCGGAGAGCAGGGGAGTCATTGTTCTCCTAGCAACCAAACTACCCCAGCTGTCCATATCTGGGGCTCGGACTGCCAGCCAGCAGCCGGGGGCGGAGGCGAGCAGTGTTGCTAGGAGAACCTGAACTTGGGTTTAAATTTGCAACCTTCCCCCCCTCCCCCCCACAGCTGAAGGATTCAGGGGCAAACAGACACACACTCAGCAGCAGGATCCACAGAGCTGAGCCCAACCAGGAAATCCTCAGCTTCTGATCCTACTGCCCCTCCCCTATTGTGCTCTAACCCCACCCACCCCCGCCCCTTTCTCTCTTGAATTTTAAATTGAACCTACCCACACCTATAAACAACAAAGAGTTTTGCCCTAGACTGCGCTCCGAACTCCTGCAGTGAGCTGTCCCAGACACTGCAGACACCTCACCTTCAGGAGCTCACATCTAGAGGGGGGGAGGTGATAAGACAACCAGCAGATCCGCCATCACCCAGGCCCCCTCCAGACTGGAACCAGCTGGAAGAAGTTAAGATTATATACAGATGCAGATGGTATGTAAATAAAGATATAGACATATGGGGCCAAGGAATGGCACCATTGGTAAAGTGCTTGCTGCGGGGCACAAGAACCTGAGTCAGTCTCCAGCACCAGTGGAAACACACAGGCCTGGAGGTAACAGGGTGCTGGTAACCACCTGGGACCCTGGGAAAGTTGTTCTCAGCCTGTGGGTCGCAACCCCTCCGAGAATCAAAAGGCCCTGGGGTGGGGGTGGGGCTAAGAATGAGGGGCCACAGCAGCACCATGGCTAGGCTTCTGGCCCCAGCCTCCACTGGGCCTGAGTTTTAATTCAGTTTCAGTTTCGGTTTCCGCACTGATGGATTCACAACACACCCCCACGGTTGGGCACTTCTGCCTAGCCAGTTCCTAGACACTTCCACCTAGCCAGTTCCGGGTCAAAATAGCCATTTCCGGGCCAAGGCATCTGGTGTGACCAGGACCCCGTGGCTTTGCATGGTTGCATAAGAGCGGGCAACGCAACCATGTGATCTATGCGCATGCGTTGAGTAGCCACATGGACCTGTGTACGCCTGCGCCACCCAGCCTTTATAAGCCAGCGCCATATTCCCAGCTTCCTTCTTCTTCCCCATGCACGTGTCTCTTTAACAGGCCTGAGCACCCCTGTCTTTCTCTCTCATCTTGATAAAACTCTTGTTAGTGGATTCTGTCGTGTTTCGTGACATTTCCTCGCAGGGTAAGAGCACCGCCAAATAACTAACATGCACACTATTAGGTTTCAGTTTTGGTTTCCAGTTCCCTGTTAAAGCCGGAAGAGGAGCCCCAGCCAATCATGTTCAGGATGACCTCATCACCCCAACCCACCCCATCTCCTGGCTGCCTGTAAAAGGAGGCTTCGAGCTCTATTCAGGGTCACAGCCATTTTGTTGTCTGGCTGCTGGCAGACCCCTGCATGCTGGAATAAAAAATACTCTTGTTGTTTGCATATGTGAGTGGTGGTCTTTGTTTTGTGCGGTGCTCTGCAGACCCTAACAAGATCATCCTGCCTATCAGATATTTACATAACAATTCATTAATAGCAAAATTACAGCTCTGAAGTAGCAATGAAAATAATTTTATGGTTGGGGGAGTCACCACAACATAAGGAACTCTATTAAAGGGTCACAC